CCTGACAGTCCTGGCGGCCAGTCTGAAATTCTTTTAGCTAGATGCATCTGCCGGAAAAAACAGTGCGGTTAGCGACAAAAGTCTGCGGGGATCTATGCAGAAAACGCATCTTTGCACGGGCAGCCCGTGCGTTGGCCAATTATTACAAATTGGGCCCATGTATACTAGAAGCTAAATTTAAATGGTCCTTGAGTCCAAAGAAGGAAATTCAAATGTAGAAACTGAAAATTTAAAGAGATAAAAATACAGTGCCCCACTGAAAAATTTTGTAATAACTGCGCAGCTGCTGCCGCCTGTTCATAGACTCAAACGCCGCTTACAGTACTCCGGGACAAACCCATCCCCGCTGCGGTTATTTGCCCTTGCGCTCGCTCTTCAATGAGAAGCGAGGGAGCGGAAGGGTGGGAGGGACGGGAAGCGGAGAGGAAGGGCAGAGGGGAGGGAGATGGGGAGAGGAGTGAGGCGAGAAGTGCAAATTCATACGCAGCACCGTAGAAGTTGTTATTTGCAAAAAAGAGCAAATTTTTCTGTCCAAGTTGCGAAAGGTATAAAAGGTCACAGATGGGTCACTACCGGAAGTAGGCTCGCGATAGACTGCTGTGTTCTGAGACCAAGGAAACGGGTGAGGGAGGAGGGCAGAGAGGAAGGAGGTAAAGGTTCCCATAAGTAACCTATAAAATGCAGTCCCTACAAACATCCATAGCAACGCTTTGGCGAGATTTTGCGATGCATTTTGCGAAAATCAAAAATCCGCACTAAATCGGAGTTGTTGTCTTGACATCGAATCGATGGCTTTTCATGGGATCCATAAAATCACGTGGAATTTGATTGAGGTGGCTTTTCGGGTGAGCACCATGTGACCAGAGAGGGGGATATGGCTGCAATCCTGCACAACATCCTACTACTGCAGATCCTGGGCATTTGGCCATAAAAACTTGAAATTTCGCCCGAGATGGGCTGGAAAAGAATCGCTTGGTGACCTGAGTTTGACAAACAAACACACTTCATTTGCGCCAGGAAATCGCTGCAAGAAAGGAAAATCTGATGGACAGGGAGGGTAATGTTGTCCACGTTGCTGACAACCAATGACTGACTGTCATGTGCATTAGTAAGTGGTACCCGCGAGAAAGTAAAATCCGATGGGCTTCGCCGACAACCAGTGAGAACCCTGGCAAAACTGTTATGTACCAGCAAGTGGTATCCTCGAGAAAGTAAAATCCGATAGGCTTCACTGACAACCAGTGAACTGGGACATATTAGTGAAGGGTGGTCCAGCGAGAAAGCAAACAACCAATGTGGTATTTTGTCTCCAAACATGATAAAGAGAGAGGGAGAGACAGTTACGAGGGCAAAAATGCAATGCCAGATAGTTTTGCGCTGACGTTTGATTAGCAGCTCCATTCCAGCAATTTCGGTCAGCTTTCTCATAAGCAGGATCACGGCAGTGGCAGTCCAGCTGCCTTTAACGATCGCCCATAATTTTGATGTTTTTTTTCCCCCTCATCTTCAAAACAAGATTTTACACCCGTTCCCGGGAGGGAGCAGGAAAATTTCACAAAACAACAGATGGACAAAGCGGGGGCAGAAGTGAGTGATTGGGGAGATTTGAGGGGGTAAACGATGAACTCGCGCCGCCGAACGACATAGATACAACCTGAAAAGAACACAAATTCACACACAAAACACAAGCACATAATTGCTCAATATTTAACGGGACACGTTAAATTTCAATGTCCAACTTCTCACTTCTTTGAGGGTTAATTCAAGAAAAAGCTTCAAGTCGGCGAGGAGGAGGGCACGTACTGCTGTGCTTGATCCTGCATGGCATGCCGTTACCCCAGGAATATTTCATCTTCATCATAAATCCCCCATATTGTCCTCTTACCAATACAGGGTACAACGCGTTATGCAACTATGCTGACGCAGCGTTACTCGCTCGCATGCTGTAAAAACAGGAGAATCGCTTCTCAGTGGCAGTATTTGCAAAATAACCGAAATGTATGGAGTCAACAACAAGGCTGTCATACTGACGAGGTCCAGTTGTGGTGCCAACAAGCAAATGTATACGACTTAATGGACTGAAACATTCCTACATTCATCTGATTCCTATTTCTTGTATTTTTACATGTATTTCACGTATATATTATATTTTTTTCCACACCGAAATGGTACAGTTTCTTTTAATAAATATAATACCACAATGTCTCTCCAGAAGTTGAAGCGTCCAAGGCAAGCAGGGTGATATCCAACACCCATCAAGAGCATCTTTTCTAACGGTGAAAAAAGCAACTATTAAAAACTAAGTTGAGCTCGGCCGAACCGGAGGATGAGTTACAACGGCTGGGGGTGACGGATAAAATGGATAAGTTAGCAATTTTAAATACATCGCCTAATACCTTACCTAGGCAGAAAACCTGTTTCCATAATTCTCGCAACTCAAGTCCGTGCCCAAAACAAGTACAAAACACACAGCCGGGCCGAGTTTTAGTGGTGGCAATTGCTAAAACTCGGCTCGGCCGGCGTTCCGCACAACTCGCGAAAAATTTTTCTTGGCGGCGGGCAAAACTACCCGCGACAGTTGGCGGGAGTCCAAGTATGGTGGGGAAGGGGGAGGCAGTGTGGCGTGTTGCGGGTTTCATTCCAGGGCAAGGGAGGGGAGGGGACTGAGATAGATGGATTGAAAGACTGCATGGCGTGGATGCTTTATCAGTTGGCTAATTCATGTATATTCGGAGGGAAGAACGAAGGAGGGGTGATGCATGGAAAAAAGGGAGTGTACTGCTGGTTTTTTGCTGCCGGTACCTGGTATTGGGAAAGGGCTGAAATACCACTTGCTCCTAAAGCTCAGATGTTGTTTTGTGGGTAGGATAAAAAAGGGCAACGAGGGTGCAAGTCAAGAGTTCGAGGCAAGAACTGGAGACAGCAGTAAAGAGAAAAAGACAACACCGCACTACAAAGTAAAATAAAGCAAACCCAGAATCTACAAAATGATAATAAAAATAATAATAAAAATAAAAAAGGCAAAGCAAAAAAAAAAGATCTGAACTTATGGTAAAAGTAAAAAGAAATCAAAGGAACTAAGCCGCCGTCAGTACGGGACTCCCCCATTTATGAAGCTGTTGCTTAGGTAAAGCTGAGAGTGAATAAGGTAAAGCTGCTTAGAAATGCGCACTTACGCTATCCCCTTCGTATTGGCGAAGCGTTTGCGCGACATTTTACTGCCTCATAGCGATGGAGTCACACAGAAATATGAAAATGGCTGCAACACTAGATATCCTTTGGATTAAAGAACTGTTCCAGTTTTATCAGCAATTCATCGCCACATGGAAATATTCACAGAATGCTGCAAAACAGAGATATAAGTATGAGTAAAATGCATAAAGAAGATCTTTAACCTCTCTAAAATACATAAAGAAGATATTTAACAAGATGTCTCCTAATTTTTGAATATAGCTAACAAAAAGAAGTGCGAAACCCACACACACATACAAACATACATATGTGTACACACATACTCATACGTACAGACACAATACACACAGATTGCATTCTTGGAAAAACAGCATTTCATTGACAAAATGATGGTAAAAAAATGTATTAAAAGTTGCAATGTGAAAAAGATAGAAATTCTAAATTACACGCAGTACCTATCATAAAAATAGTATTTGTAACAAAAGACTAATTATAAATGAAAACAATGAAATTTCAAAAAAAAAGGCACTTAAATATGCGACTTTGCCAAACTCAGTTTCCCTTTTTCTGGGTTTTCTTTCCCCGTTTTGCCATTCTGGGATATTCTGTGATGTCGAGAAATGCACACCCTAACAATCAAAAAAAATTCCCATCGGTAGCTTATGTGGGGACGTGTACTCGAAATAGTTGTCGCAAAACTGTCGAATATGAAATATATGTTTGAATCAAACACTCCAAAATAGCCAAAGGCAATTCCTAAGCAGCCGCTCCTTCCCAAACCTTTTCTTCCAATGCCAAAGACCAGGGCTCAACCAACTGTTCACCTCGCCTAAAGTACAATTCCGCCCATTTCACTGGGCGACAAATACAATGCCATAATCGATCTATCACTATTGTTCCCTCGCATTCGCAACAGGAGGAGTGAATAAATAAATAAGCCAATCTTTAAAAAAAACAAAAACATGGAATTATATTTAGCGCTGTAGAGCACCAAAAAACAACGAAACAACAAATCCATCATTGGATTTTCGGATGATGCTGAAATCATCATAATACGGTCCTAGGTATCCTGAATTTTTGCACTTACGATCAATCGCTACTGAGCACTTCCACGTCATAGTTATTATCATCATCGCTATCACTTTCAATAATCAGTCTTCTGTTGCGTCTTTTCTTTGGTGCCAGCACGAATGAATCTTCATCGTTGTCGTTCTCATGATCATCATCGTCTTTAATTTCATCAACATTATAATTCACTGGTTTTCTCTTGCGCAACGGATGTCGTGCTGGTTGTGATGGGCCAGCTTCTTCAGAATTCTCCGAATCATCATCCATCACTTTTGCAGGATTTTTGTTTCCGGCCGCTTTCTGCAAGTATGTTTAGTCAATTACTCCCTGATAATTTTTATTTTTTTCTAATGCTTTTCACTGAATCAATAAATTACCATAGTGATAAAGACGAAAAATAATGAATAATGATAATAATAATAATAATAATAATAATAATAATAATAACAATAATAATAATACCAATAATAATAATAAAACAATAAGTAAAAAAGAAATGTAGTGATAAAAATAACGACGAATAATGAAAGAAGAATAAAATGCCCAACCTACAGTGAAGTTCGGATGATTCTCTTAAGAAAGAGGAGTTTTACCTTATTGCCACTTACATGTGAAAGTAGCCTCCCTCCTGAAAACTCGCCAAATTTTGCCTTAGTAATTATCAAAATTGAACAGGCGAATTTATAAGGGGTTAAAAATGAAAAATCGAAGTTCAAAAATGGGAGACTTACTGATCCAAAGAAATCCTCCATACGCATAGCAGGAGGACTTTTTTCCTTCTTCTTTGGTTTCATTTGCTTTATTTCTCGACTTTCGTGCTTTTTTTCAATATCTTTCGATTTTTTACTAGCTTCTGCTGCTACTGCTAAGATTGGCTTCTTTTTCGGCTATAAAAAAGTATTATTATAAAGAATTTAAGAGCATTCAAAATGGCATACTTTCAGCTTTACCGGAAAAAACGGCTTTGCTTGAAACAATTAGAAAAATGCAAGATCATGGCTGACAGGGGAGTTGCTAGCCAAATAAAAAAACAGATAAAAATATTACTTTTTCAGTTTTCTTTGTTTTTTCATCAGATGACATGCTGGAGGCAGAATCTTCAACAACTTCCTGCACTGACAACTCTTCGATGCTATCACTATCGCCAGGCGTTTCATCCTTTCCCGCTGTAATTACTTTTTTGGAAAATTTACTATAGTGAAGGCAATTCAAAAGCCTCTTCATCCAGCTTGGCCGAGTAATATCTCCCGTAAGAAATCTCATTCACTGGTCAAGTGATGAAATAAGAACGTATATTAATAGGACGGTATATTAAAAACGGATGAAAAGAGATGAACAGAGAGGAAGGTGCAAGAGATGAGAATTACAAAATTTGTAAATTAATAAAATTATTTTAATTGTAAGAAATGTTTCGGTCCATTAAGTCGTATACATTTTTTGCCAAAATAAGCTTATTAATAAGCTGGGACAGCGAAAAACAATATGTGGTACCTGCTTTTGCCCTTTTTTCATCCGCTTCTCCATTTTTCTGACCGAAGAATTTTCGTACATCAACCCCTTCCCTCTTCGCTTCTTTCTTGATTTGAGTTTTACGTGTCTTGGCACGTCCCTCAACGGCTTTTTTAATTTCGTATTTTTCTTTCATTGCATCAATTTGTGGCACAACGCGTTCAGCATTTGGATCTGGTAACACTTCCTAAACGAGCTAGATTATTAAACAGTTTAGGGTTCATGTACAGTAACACATGGTACAATTGCTTCATAAATTAGTCATTTCAGTGCCGGAATTTCGAAAAAATAATAGCGTAGGGGATAAGGGATCAGTCTAAGTATCACTTACAAGAAGACATGTTTGGATGCAGTCTGTGTTTCATTCCTTAGCTGTAAATACAGACCGAATGCAGCATGCAAATGAAATTACATGGTCCTTTCTTTTCAGCCGCCGATTTAAACATTACTGCTGCTCAGAGAGTTTATTGTCATGAACGTGAAATGTGGATGAGTACGCTTATGCGTCTGGATTAACCAAAGATAAATTAAGTGAATCTGATTAATTGAGAGTCAAATCTTGAGAAATAACAAATTATAGGCGTTAGAAGGCCATATAATAATCTTAAAACAAGTGGACGGTCCAAACAAAAGAAACTAAAATGCCTACAGATGTTCATCAAAAGCTGAATCTATCTACTAAACAGAGAGATTTCTGTCCTAGGCGTACATTTTCCTTCAATAGATAAATTATTGGAAGCTGCAAAAATGCAAGCTTACTTTGACCAGTGCAGTGGCGACTTTTTTACGGCTAGCTGCAGTTCCTTCAAACTGTAGTTTTTTTGCCGCAGTTTTGATCTGTACGTCGAGATCAGCTCTTTCTTTCGCTTCCTGTAATCAATAGCAATATCACATTTAGTCCTCAAAAGATCCTAAGGGATAATTCTCTTGTACTTTAAATGACTAGTATTCCAGTAAGAGGAATAGGAAGGGTGGAAAAGGGCCATAGAGGTCCAACCAAAAAGCATTCATTCCAAAATGGGAATGCCTGTGTTGTGTGTCAGACGACGTTTTGTAAAGAAATAAGATAAAATAAAATCAGATATTTTAACGTTAAAAGAAGAACTAGTAAAATGTTGAAAATTTTTTTAATGGAAAGAAATGTTTCGGTTCATTAAGTCACACACATTTCTTATCACAGAACCACAAGGGACAGGGCATAATGTGTATAGGTCAAAAACTTCTTATGAAGTGGTAAAATTCTGGAGAAATCACATATCAGAATCACAGCTTCTGACGAAGAAATCACAGCTTGGCGGAAAACAGTTGAGCTTTTTGCTGCCTGCTGCGCACGCCCAGAAGCTGCACCGAAAAAATTATAAATGAAGAGAATCGGCTTCAAAATTTAGGCTCTGTAAGGAAATACAGTGACAAAAATCACTAAGAATTACTGTGTTACTCAGAATTTAGCGCTCAACAGGAACTGAAACCGTACCTGCTTGTCGAGTTCGGTGAGGAAATGCTCCAGATCATGATTCCACAAATCTGCCCACGTCATCTCCTCTAAGGTCTACAAAGAAATGAAATTTGAATATGTCGTGAAGCTCTGAAGGTTGTAACTGCAAGGAAAATAATAATTAAAAAGAAGTAAAAACTGGGTTGGAATGTTGGTCCATTAAGTCGCATACATTCCCAATCAGCGCTGCAACTGAAGATTTGTTCATTTTTATATCAAGATGCCTTTACAATTCGTTTATTTGTAACGATGTATCGAAGTACGTTGAAATTCTCATCAACTTTCTTTTGAAACAAATAACCCCTGAGATGCCGCCAATGGGTGGTTGCTGCCAACGCATGCTACCATTTGGGTTGCTTCCGAGTTCCTCTGCCACTAACAGGCAGTGAGATGAGGTCTGACCTTTGATTTTGATAAAACAGATGACCTAGTACTGGTACCAGTTATATTATTTTAAACAAAAATAATCTTTGTAGCTGTAAAGGCAGAATGCGTCACCCGAGGTAGCTCACATCAACCTCAAAGCTTTCTGGATTATGACTAGGGTCAGTCACCCCCCAAAATGAGATGTAAAAGCGCAGCCTTTGCCTCCCCACTCCCACCTCCCCCTCCCCCCCCCAATCCAAATTATAAAACACAAAAATAAAATAAAAAGCAGAGTCATCTTTCAATGACATTCCAGCTAAACGTCGGGAAGCGACGTTCCCGTCGGAGATCGAATCTACGATGGGAAAATTAGCAGGGAAAAAGGAAGATTGGGAACGGAGAATCGGATCCCTGTCGGAGATCCCACAGTCTTTTATAATTTGGATTGGGAGGCGGGGAGGCAAAGGCTGCGTCTTTTTTTACACAGTAATGTAAACGCATCCAGACTGCCTCTTGGTGAAAGCGGAGATTCAATCCGTCATTTAGCTACTGCGTTACTTCTTGCAGTAAATTTTTGACACACAAATACACAGTTAAATGAATCACATCACGTTCAGTCAAAAAATAGACCAAAGAATGATTATTATTATTATTTCAGGGAACCAAAGCAAAGTATTAAAATCGTCTCACCCGTAATTCGTGCAATTTTGCTTCGCTTTCGCGCAACAGTTTGTCTTTCTCCTCTTCAGAGAGTTTCAAAATTGCCATACCAACCAAGTAATCATAAGCGCTTAATTTGTTAGTCAATTCCTTTCCTTGTGCTTCTGCTTCCTGCAAAAAAAAAAAAAGATTTACCTAAATTCTCGAAAAAAAAGTGTAATTTTCACCATTTTTCCACTAAATCATTTACTTTTCGTCAGTTTTAATCTACCTTAAATTTTCGAAGAAAAATTTTGATTTTCACCACTGTTTTTTTTTCACCGAATCATTTATTTTGAGTGAGTTTTTTTCTTTTTTTTCAAAAATTCGATGTACGGGATCCACTCGAAGGTCTGCATGGAATTATTTGGACAATACAAAAGTCATTTCAAAAAAAGTGAAAATCTAGGCCGATTTTTTGTAATGTACCACAGTTTGAGTAAAAAAGAAGCCTGAAATGGGAAGAATCTTCAAAAATGAACTTACTTCCTCCTCCTCCTCATTTTCATCCTTCTCTTCGTCCTCATCTTGCGCAACTTCACCAAGCAACATCAGCTCACGCTTCCTCCGCTCCTCTTTCCATTTTTTCACAGGATCCGGATCGAAACCCATCTTGATGAGTTGCTCAACGATTGTTGCTTTTCGCTTATTCTCAATCAATATCTCGCCTTTGATTTTTGCCAAAATAAATCTTGCCTAAAAAGAAGTTTCGAATAAGAGGGCTCTCAAAACTCTTTTCGCATTCACTTCCAGTGAGAAGCGGAGTGACACAGAATTCAACAGCAGGCACCCTGACAGGGAGTCTGCCAGTGATTCCTTTTTTCAAGGGCTGCTTAGAAGCAAGCTGACGGCGAAGGATGGTGTGAAACTCGCAAAATTTTTAAAAAAAAAATCTATAAAAACGAAATTTGTAAAAAATACCGATCGCTTGGGAAAGTTTTTTGGTATAAAGCCAAAAATTTGACCCTTTTTGAACGCTAGAATGATTCATAATCGAGTGCTGCTTTTACCTGGTTTGAAAGACGTTCGCTCTGTGCTCGCAATAATCCCTCTTGGAAATTTTTGCGTTCTATGTATTTTTTCTTACGAGTCTCAAAGAAATCTTTGCAAATGTCTGTAACATTTTCAAATCGCCGCAGATATCCCAGCGGATCAAAAAGCACCTGAAACAGTTTGTCACATAAACTATTAGGCCAATTATCCCAATACAATTCGGATAAAAGGAACTAAATTTCCAGCAAAAACAGCTTAAATGTGGCACAATATGAAATACAGTTAGTAATCTGTCACCTGATTCTGAAAAATTACTTTTGCAAGAAAAATATAATTTCCAGCCCTTCAACAAAAAAGCATTATTCAATGTGTTTTAGAAATTTTAAAGATGCAAACAATGAATATCTCTGGCTAGGCAGATTGGAAGAAGACCACGGGGCCAGAAATCTTCTATGTGTTAAAATACGCAATTTGTTTGGCATTGTCGGTCCGTCGTTGAGAGGAACACAATTGAATCTTGACAGAAACAGGAAGTGCCAATTTAGATCTCCCAGATAAGTGAGCCTGTACGCGCACTGTCTATGTTTCATCCCTGAGCTGTAAATGGCAGAGTCAACTTCGGACACATTATTCAAATTTATAGCTTTTGAAAAAATTAAACCACATATGAAGTTAGGAATTTAGACTCATACCAAACTGCTTTTATCATCAATATCAAATTACAGTGAAAAATAGAGTGTTTGACTACTGTTCAGTGGATAAATCTCAACAAAATTGTTAAAAACAAAAAAAAAAAGTTGTTAAGGAATCGGAAAAAAACCCAGGGCGCCTCAAATGTTCATTGGGGTACTGCCAAATGTATAAGTTACAAAAGAACGATGACAATAATATTAAATAAAAAATAAAAAAACCATTGAAGTGGTGTTGATGACAGACTGCAGCTTGAAAACTTTGTGTAATCCTTCTGCTCGTGCAGCACGCAACTTCTCGGCACTCATTTTCACAACAAATTTTACAGTTGTATCGGTGTGATATTCTTTAAAATCTCTAAAAATTCAAATATTTGATGATTTTCGATATAAAATAAAAGTAGCTGAAATTCAGCTTTGCTTTATCTGTTTGAACAGAAAATTCTAGCAATACTCTCTGAAGTTTCAAAAAATAAAATCTATAGTTCATGGTTCAGGGGAAAGGCAAGGAGACCTCGAATAGAAACTAATAGTACTTCTCGGCATTTTTGCTGCAGATTCGGTATTTTTAACCTCAGATACTGCTCTTCCGTCCAAAATGTTGTAAATTGGAGCATTAATCCCGCACTGCGATTTTTCTTTCAAACTGGACTCAATGTATTTGAACACATTCAGTTCGTATTATTGCCTCCTCAACAAAAAAAACCCCCGAAAACAACTCTCCATTCCTACTTTTTATGCCTTTTTGTATATATGCAAATGCAAAAATGCATATTGGCAAGAGGCTGTGTGTTTACACTTTTTGTCACTCACATCTTTAACTCGAGAACCAGAAAAGCTTGAACGCTAAAACTTTGGCAGTACGTGTGTGTGCGCACACCGCAAGTGCGACTTTCTCGTTTTAATAGAATCACCCACGTACGCCTAAGTCCCACTTATGGACGGCGTAATTGTATTTTTATCCCTCCTTCTCATCAGCTTTAATAAAAAAAT